ATGCTGCAATAAACATAGGACTGCATGTATCTTTTTGAATTAGTGTTTTCATTTTCTTTGGGTAAATAGAATTCCTGGATCATACGGTAATTCTATTTTTAATTTTTTGAGGAACCTCCACACCGATTTCTGCACTGGCTGTACCAGTCTACATTCCCACCAACAGTGCATGAGGGTTCCTTTTTTTCCACATCCTCGCCAACACTTGTTATTTCATCTTTTTGATTCTAGCCATTCTGACAGGTGTGATATCTCATTGTGGTTTTGATTTGCATTTCCCTGATGATGAGTGATGTTGAGCATCTTTTCACGTGTCTGTTGGCCATCTGCATGTCTTCTTTAGAAAAATGTCTATTCAGGTCCTCTGCCCATTTTTTAATTGGATTATTTGGTTTTTGGTGTTGAGTCATGTAAGTGCTTTATATATTTTGGATATTAACACCTTATCGGATGTATCATTTACAAATATCTTCTCCCATTTGGTAGTTTTGTCAATTTTAGTTTTGTCGATTTCCTTCACTGTGCAGAAGCTTTTTATCTTGATGTAGTCCCAATAGTTTATTTTGGCTTGTTTCCCTTGTCTCAGGAGACATACCTAGAAAAATGCTGCCACTGTACCTTATAGTTTTAAGGGCTATTATAAATGCTATCTTTTTAAAAAATATATCATATTCTAAATGTTTTTTATAGGTTCATGGGCCTCCAACAATTTTTTTATACTGGTCTTACAACCAGACATCTTTTAAAAATAGTAGCTCCAATAGTTTGTCTATGCTCATGAATGATTTTGTTTCCTCCTTTCCAATCCTGTTACTACTTATTTATTTTTTCATATCTTATTGTACTTGCTGGTCTTCTAGGAAAGACTAGCAACATCTCCTTCCAGGAAAATGTTGATATCAGGTATTCTTACCCTGTTCCAGACAATAAGAATTTACCTTTATCTGGTTCATCTTTAGGAATGGTGCTTGCTTTGGGGTTGGGACTTTATTTTATTTTACAGATTTTATTTATTTATTTGACAGAGAGAGACACAGCAAGAGAGGGAACACAATCAGGGGGAGTGGGAGAGGGAGAAGCAGGCTTCCTGCAGAGCAGGGAGCCCGATGAGGGGCTCAATCCCAGGTCCCTGGGATCATGACCTGAGCCGAAGGCAGACGTCCAACAACTGAGCCACCTAGGCGCCCTGGGATTTTATTTTTTTGATAGACCTCAATAAGTTAACAAAGTTCCCTTCTGAATCTAATCCACTTTTTTTAAAAAAAGTCATAAATGGAGTTATGTTTCATTTTATCAAATGATTTTTCTAAATCTACCAAGATTATCACATTTCTCCTTCAACTTGTTAATGTGATGAACTATATTAATACATTCTCTATGTTACCATTCTTGGTAAAAATTATTTGGTGATGACATGTTTTAATGCATTGCGGGATTCAACTTATTATTTCACTTAGACTTCTAGATGTAATTTCATAAGTGATATTAGCCTATAATTTTTCTTTCTTCCATTTACTTCTTGGTATTTGTCTCAAAGTGTCTCATGGATGAATTGGGGGACATTTCCTCTTTTTTATTCTCTTTTAGGAGTTAAGCGAAAATTGAGTTTGGTTATTCTTTTGAGAGTAGTCACCTGGAAGATTGTGGGAGTCTAGGGGCGCCTGGGTGGCTCAGATGGTTAAGCATCTGCCTTCGGCTCAGGTCATGATCCCAGGGTCCTGGGATCAAGCCCCACATCGGGCTCCTGGCTCAGCAGGGAGCCTGCTTCTCCCTCTGCCTCTCTCCCTGCTTATGCTCTCGCTCTCTCTCTCTCTGTGTATCTCTGTGTCTCAAATGAATAAATAAAATCTTTAAAAAAAAAAAAGATTGTGGGAGTCTATTGGTGATGTTTTGTTTCTTTGTTCTTTGGTGCATATATTTGAAACAACTGATTTAATTTCTCTCTATTCATAGTCTATTCAAATTCTATATGTCCTCTTGGCGATCTCTGGGAAGCTATACTTTCTCAGAAATGTGTCCTGTTCTTCCAGGTCTTCAAATTTATTACCCCAGATCGTTCAATGTACTCTGATCTTTTAAACTTCTATTGTATCTATAGTTATGGTACTTTTTATTCCTAATATGTGTATCTGCATCTTTTTTCTTGCTCAGTGTTTCCAGAAATGTCTATTTAATTAGCCTTTCACAGAAGTTAGAAATTTACCCTCAAGATACATCTCTAACAGTATCAAAACAACATGCACAGGATTACCCATTCTGGCGTTCTTCATAATAGCAAAACAGTGGAAATAGTCTAAATGTCCACATGCAGGAAATTAGCTGAATAAATTATGATACTTCTACACAGCAGACTACCATATAGCTATTAAAAAGAAAGAATGAGGAAGACCTCTGTAAACTGATGGGCCATGATTTCCAGAATATGTCATTAAGTGGAAAAAAAATTGTGCAAAGAGTATAGGTAGAATGCAACCTTTTGTATAAGAAAAAAAGGGAAATATGTTTGTATTTGCTTATTTTTACAAAAAGAAATAAGAAAGATAAAATTGTTTACCTACAGAGGATGGGTGGGCAGGACATAGAAGGGATACGGAGGGGAATGGGATTTGTATCATGCCTTTTTTATATAGCTTTGACTCCTGAACGATGTTAATATTTTACAAGTTTCAAAAAACAAGTCAATAAGAACAGGGAAGCAACTAAAACTGAATGCCAACAACGACAAATAAACCTAACTGTATATCAAACAAATAACAACTACACATTAATTCAAATAACTTTTGAACACAATTCTCTGTATACTCTCAGTAGGATATATTCTAAGAACTTCAAAGAAATCTTGAGTTTCACTTAATACGCTTATGGGGAGTAGGGTTGATGTAGTAATTCTGAAATTCTTTCATTCATGTATAAGATTTGGTAAGAGAGTATGTATATGGCTATTGGATTCTCATTCAGGGAGAAGGGAGATATAAATATGAAATGGGAGGAGTGCAAGACCTCTAAGATGCTGGATTGGAATTATTGGCATGAACCCATCATTTTGAAGTTGTATCTCCTAGCTCTGAACGCTAAAAGGGCCTAGAAACAATGACTCTCTAGTAAGTGAGCACACCTCGCATTCAGATCTTGGTATCCAAATACCATTCTCTGAACGGAGTGAGAGCTCTTTGGAGAAATGCATGATTCCAGGACTGGGGCACAGAAACTACAAGATGAGTCTGGAATATCCATATATTGTGCCCAAAAGTTTTGAAGTTCTCAAAGGATACGGAGGACACATCAGACGGACAGAGAAACTGCTTTAAAGGGTTCCTCTTCATCACATTTGGCACAATTAATATATCAAAATGAATAATAATAGAAGTAAATTGTTACTGAATACAAAAAATGCACTGACCATACTGATCATTTTTAAAAACATTAAAGGGGGAGGCAGAAGGGGGAAAAACTCTTATTCACAGGAGGGGGCCTGCAAATAAATATAAAAAGGAATGATATCTATGAAATACATAGGAAACTTTGAGAGTGGGTAATGACTCTGTTCCCAATCAGGTTTTCACTCATGGTTTTAGCATCTGTTGGTCACTCTTTTCTTTTTTTCAGTTTTAGGCTAATATGAAGAAAGCGACTATAAACATTTGTGAATGTATTCATTTCTCTTGAAGTAAGTGCCTAAAAGCACAGTTGCTGGCTCACACTGGATGTAAGTGTATGTTTCACTTTACAAGAGACCACATACCATTTCACACACACCCATCCTGATCCTGGTTCTAGGATCACACGCTGCCTTTCATTGTTCTCTCTTTAACCTTGGGTTATCATCCAGGAGAAATGAGGGGAAACATCCTCTAAAGGACTTGTACAATCATGTGCAAAGCCACACTGTTTTTTGTGAACTCCAAACCAGAACCAGCCCAAGTGTTCACCAAAAGTAGGATGGATAAATAAATTTTGATACAGTTATGACAATGGGGATATGATGCAGTCAGCAAGGAGAAAAGAACCAATTAATACCACATACAACAATATGGATGAGTCTCACAAACAATTTTGAGTGAAAGAAGCCAGACCAAAACAGGTACATCCTGATGATTCCATTCATATAAAATTCAGTAAGAGGCCAAACTGGAACACAGTGAAGGAAGTCAGAAAAGTGATTTCTTGTAGGACTGAGGTGTGCAGGAGAGGTTCCTGATATGCTGCCAATACTCTAAATCTACCTAAGTGTGCATTACTTGGATGTGCTTGCTTTGTGAAAACTTACCAGGCTGTACATTTATGATGAATGTGCCTTTCTGTACATTAGTTTTGCTCATATATATATATATTAAATATATATAAAAATAAATTTATATATATATATATATATTTTTTTAAAAGAGCCAACTTAACCCTGATGCCAAAACTAAGCAAAAAGAATAATGAATCCGGGCGCCTGGGTGGCTCAGTCGTTAAGCGGCTGCCTTCGGCTCAGGTCACGATCCCAGGGTCCTGGGATCGAGCCCCGCATCGGGCTCCCTGCTCAGCGGGAAGCCTGCTTCTCCCTCTCCCACTCCCCCTGCTTGTGTTCCTGCTCTCACTGTCTCTCTCTCTGTCAAATAAATAAATAAAAAAAAAAAAAAAGAATAATGAATCCTTTCTGAATTCATTTTAAACTTTAGGTTCAGAAGGTGTGCTTATTTTCTGACTTCCTAAGCTTTTTGGGAAAACTTCCCTGTGACTAGCACGTCCTAGTGACAATAGTCGGGAGAGGAGCGTACAGGGAGAAAGGCACCCCGAGGCTCCGTGTTGGGTGCACATCGGCCCGCACGTCTTTATGGAAAGAAACTTGACAATACACATCTAGAGAATTAAAAAGACTTACACACCACTTTATCTGATAATTCCCCTCCAGGAATGTATCCTAAATCAACATCGCAAATATTTATGAACAATGATGTAAAGTTATACAATAAAAAATGTTTTAGAAAAGAAAAACCTTTGAAGGTAATACTTACAATTGGCGTTCCAAAAGGAATGTAACCTGTGAGGCGAGAGAAGAGGGTCAGGTCTTTCAGTCCCACCCACTCCACCCCAACCACTTCTCAACAGAGACAGTGGAAGAGACTTCCGGGTTTTGTCTTGTCAATGGCCCTGATGGGGCACCTCCACCCCCAGACCTTTTCCTGACTCAGCCCTCCAGGATAGAAGGCTCCCTTGTGTCCCTCCACCGCCCTCTCTCTGTCCCCCTTTAGCCAGACACTTCTCACTTGCCTCTAAAACTCAGAGGCCCATTGCTGAGGGCAGGGCTGCCCACTGCTGGGGGGCCACCATGCTACACTCAGCGCTCCTCCCATGATTTCCTCCATGAGGTACGACGTCCCCAGCCCACAATCACTACACACACTACGCTGTCTTCACAGGCCCTGTAATGCCCTCCTTCTCTCACCTTGCCTTTCGAGCACACATCTTTACTTCCCCGGCATCATGACCGATTCTGGAAAGGGAACTCCCCATGCACTTGAGATGTGTACCTCGACGAGCCACAGGTCCTCTGTAACTTTCTCGTACCCTGGCTGGACATCCTCAGTAGGGCAGGAGAGAGCATCCCACCCTGCCGTCAGTGGGCGGCCTTGTGTCCCTGACTCTGACTTATGGCAGCCAGTCAGACGGTGGTGGGACAGTGCACAACCACGCTTATCTGAGTTCTCTAAAGCAAAGGTTCGTGTCCAGAGTGTGTAACTGTGCATGCACATGAGCCGTCATGTCACTCTACCGCCCACATTCTTCTGGAGACAGATCCAAGGTTTGCCTGGACAGTGACAAGAGAATCCAGGCCCCAGGTGAGAACCTGCTGTGGCCGCGTGCAGGGACTGGGAGCACCTACAGCCATGGCTACAAGACGCTCCGGCCTTTGTGCCTGGGAGTTCCTCACGGCCAAGCAAGGAGGATCCCCGGGCACGCAGGGCCTCAGTTGGCACAGTGATGAAACACGGTTGTTTTTTCTCTCACCCACATGAGGTCAGGCTCTCTGGGGGTGGGGATCCTGACTGACCCAGCTGGGAACAGCCCCTGATAGAGACCCTTTCTCCCCTCCCCTGAGGACTTTCCAAGGCAGTAGCCAGGAGCCCTCCACCCAACCCTGCAAGAGTGCCCCCGTGCACTGAGAAATGGCATGGAGGAGGCATCAGCTCTCTGCCGTGGGACTCTGCACAAGGCCTGCAACCTCTCAGAACTACAGGTAGGACAGACACACTAGCCCCAGGCATGGTGCGTTCAAGCGCTTTCTAGGCTACTAAGCTCATGCATACAGAGCTATCCCTCCAGTGACCACAGGGCAGGGACTTCCTGGCCGCAGGAATCTTATGGCCACTCTCCCACCCCACCCCCTCTGCCACTGGTCTCCACAGAATGGGGATCCACCTTCCGTGTGGGCACTCATGCAAATGCAGTGCATGCTTTCTGGAGTAGAGGGGAGCCTGGGGCTTAAGTGCCTTTAAGGGAACATGGTTTGGAAGGAAAAAGCAGAGTGTGCACAGGTAGGTAAGGGAGGAGTGACTCACAGAAGGCAGGGCTTGCCCGAATCCGGAGTCACCCCTGAGGCTGCCGCTCAGTGAGTACTGTATAACCGGGCCGGGAGCGCCACATTCCCCTGTGGAGGCCTCCGCCCCACCCCCACTGCTCAGGCAGAAAAAGCAGACAGGCACATTTTTTCTAAAGCCCCATAGGTGATTCTGAGACCTGGCCAGAGGTCTGTAAGGTCGAGCCAAGGTGAATATGCAGGTGCAAATGTGGCCACGTGTGTCACAGATTCTGCCCTTCCTCAGCTTGCTGCATCTGGATGATCCCGGAGCTGTGACCATGGTAAGCGCCCGAGGCTAGGCAGAATCAGAAGGGTCCCACGGGCTTACCTGACATTCTAAAGGGCATGAAGATCTTCTCATTGGTATCTGGGTGTAGAATAGCCTGGCAAGAGCAGGGAACAAGGCACAGGGTGACTGTGGGGAGCGGTGGGGGAGCAGACAAGGGGACAGGAGAGGGAGGAAGGAGGGAAAGGAGAGCTCCTCCAGAAGGACTGGGCAGTCAATCCTTTCCCATCATTCAAGGCAAGAGAAAACCAAAACATGGGCTACCAACAGGGCTTTTCCTGACTCACGCTTAAAGCTGAACGCAGGGGAGTGGGACTGCATCTACCTTGCAGGTCCTCTGTCCCCCATGCCTGGTATTTAGTAGGCATGTAAGAAGGATTTTGTAGAAGGACCCCCCCCCCCCCCAGGGAAGGAGCTCAGGGGCCCAGGGAAAGGCAAGGGGCCTGAGCTCCGGCAGTCAGAAACTCAGGCCCTGGTATTAGGGAGGAAGGAAGGGCGAGGCAGCTGGGCTGGCAGCTGGGGGCTAATGGGAGGGGAAAGGCGGAGCAGCACAGCCGTGAATCCCCAGGACAGGGCAGGGCAAAGGAAGGAAAGAAATCCAAAACGGAATTACCTGCTTGATTTTCTGTGCACTCCAGAGCTGCAAGGAAGGAAGGATGGGAGAGAGAGGAAAAAGAAAAAAAAAAGGAAAAGAAAAGAAAGCACAAAAATTAAAAGCATTTATCAATTTAAGGTCTCATAAGCCACATTTTTTTAACCAAGAGACCCAGCTCCAAAGGGCGTTAAGAGGTTCAGGTTGTCCTGGTGCCCCCAGGCCTGGTAGCTTCCCTGGGACTGTGGCATCAGGCATCCCAGGACAGCAGAACCAGGGGATCTCAAGCAGACCATCCAAACCAGGGGTTCTCTATTCTGGCTGTGCTGTAAAATTACTTGAAAAATTCTTCCAGCAATTTTCTAGTTAATTCTAAGGTTTCAGTGAAGACACTTGAGTACGTCTCCCGGAATCACTAGAAGCAGCGGAGCATGGATTTTTCAAAGCTGGACAGACTGCCTGGATTCCTGGCTTTGCCCCTCCTTCTCCTGAACCTCCATTTCCTCACTTGTACAATGCGGGTAATAGCAGTGTCTCCACCATCGTGGAAGAGGTGTAGGAAAGGTGCCTGGAGCAGTGCTGGGCACAGAGTAGGGGCTTCACTGCTGCTGATTGCTGTGGGTATTATTATCCCTATTGTTGTAGTTGTTATAAGAAGGTTACAAGGAGAAGAAAGTTGCTTTCAAATAAGCAGTGAGGTTTTCTCTCCAGCACAGTGTGGGACACAGGCTGGACGGACAGAACCATTGCCAATTCCTTCAAATGATATAAACACTGCATCTCATTGAGTCTAAGATATCAGCGACCCTAAGATGCACTATCATGTGCCACCAAGAAGGAAAACTATAACATAATCCCAAGACCTCCATCCATTAAAAGACTCATCCCATTTGAGAGACGTTAAAATGTGGTAAGAGAAACTTTTAGAACCAAGAAAACATAGTAAATAAAAATGTACATGTGGGCAAAGCAAAGGCAGTGCGTTTTTAAAGGAGCAAGAAAGTATGAGGTGAGAGGGGGAGGTGGCCAGCAGTTGATGTTAGTTTTACAACAGAATGGTTCAGTTATGCTTCAGTTATGTGGCACTGTTGTCATCTGGAACATAAATTAGGCTGCAGGGGGCGCCTGGCTGGCTCAGTCATTGGCGTGTCTGCCTTCGGCTCAGGTTATGATCCTGGGGTCCTGGGATCGAGCCCCGCATCCGGGGCTCCCTGCTCAGCGGGAAGCCTGCTTCTCCCTCTCCCACTCCCCCTGCTTGTGTTCCCTCTCTCGCTGTCTCTCTCTCTGTCAAATAAATAAATAAAAAACCTTAAAAAATGAAAAATAAATAAATTAGGCTGCAGAAGGCCATCAGGTAGCAGAAACAGAAGCATAAGATTGATGAATTCACATTTATGCATTTTACTCACATCAGAGTCCTTCAACCCTTAATTCACAGCCTAATTACCCTTATTTTAGATACATTTCAAACATATTTGATTGTTTGCGAGTCCAGACCCACAAAGATTGAAGTGGTCGATTTTTTTAAAATAATAATTATGGGAAAAGGGGACTGAAGGGAGAAAAACCAAATGCAGAATTGCTGTTGGCCAAAGAAGGTAAGTCAGAGCGTTAACAGCAAAGAGGTAAAACAAAGTGATAAAAGGCTGATCCCCTTTGCTCAGAAAGTGCCTCCAATCCCAGTATCATCTTCGGTGCGACCCCAGGCCCTGTGCACAGACTCCTGACACCCCGTATTTCCCACCCAGGATCAGAATCTCCTATTTCTAGGTCCAGCTCCTTGGAGGCAGGAGCTTGTCTTCCAAGGCTGTCACCCAGCATCTCCCACAGTGCTCGGCACACAGAAAATCCAAAGCTATTCTAAAATTAAAATTTTATTTAAAAAAACCATGCAGATCTCTTCATACAATTCAGAAGGAAGGAAGGAAGGAAAGAAGGAAGGAAGGAAGGAAGGATCCAGTGGAGGCTGGTGGGGCAGCAAAGCCATGAGGTGAAGGAGCCCAGGCCCTGGACGATGGCCTGTGCCCAGTTCCCGAGCAGCACTGGACTCTGACATGACAAAGAAACAGACCTTAGTGTGTAAGTTCCTGAAATCTGGGGTTGTTTGTTACAGTGCTTGGCTCACCCTGACTAACACAGAGGTTTAAATGAGATATGTATATTTAAAATACTCAGCCTATAGAATATGCTCCACGAATGCCTAAAACAGAGAAGTCATTCAAATGAGCAATATATTTTTTAACGGACTTAATTATTTTTCAAAGCAACTTCATCTCTATTGTCTTACTGCTACAACATGCCTGTGAGGTGGACAGATTATTTGCAGACAAGCAAACTCATCTCAGAGAGACTAAGTAATTCAGCAGGGTCCTAGGAGCTGGTGGCAGGATGGAGATGGGCCGCCAGGCCTCCTGGCCTCTAGGCTCGTGTTCTCCCTACACTCCAGGGGCCTCTGAAGCAGATCGATGTCTGGTCTGGCTGGAGTGACTGCCAGGCCTGAGGCGCGAGAAGAGGAAGAGGGTTAGCTGACATCCTCCTGGGGTCCCAGAAATTCCTCCTTGCAGCCCGGGGGCTAATGCCCCTCGCCAGTACCTGCTGCTCCCCTCCTGCCCAAGTCCAGCTGAGTAGCACAATGCTGGCAACCCATGGGCACATCCAAGCCCCTCAGGTTCAAGGACTGCCCCCTCCACCCCCACCCCCCCAGGAGCGGGATGGGAAAAGTAGGCGGATGCTGCTCATCCGCAAAGGCAGATGTTCAGCAAGGGTGTCAGCAGGCCAGGCCAGGGACCCAGAGCTACAGAGGTGTTCCCCACCCTGCAATGACACCACCACACCCACGGCCCCGGGCAGGCCCGTGCCACGGAGACGGAGACAAGGCGACCACAAAGCCTCACACGCTAATTCCATGCTTCTCCCTTTGGCTGAGCACCTTCTCTCCCATTATTTGATTTTCACCCTCGGAAATCTGTTCTACAGGCCAGATGAGGAAACCACAGCTCAGAGTCACCTCCAAGGTGTCGGGCAGAGCCAGAACGAGAGCTCATGACCTCTCGGATTCATTCATCCTCACTCATTCATTCACATTTAGCGAACAAGCGCCGTGTGTCGGACGTCCTTCTGAGGGCTTTGTACATATTGACTTATCTAATCTCCTCAACAACCCCATGAGGCAGGAGATAGTCTATCCCCCACTTTGTTGATATGGAGACTGAGGCACAGACAACGGACATGACTTGCCCACAGTCCCACAGCAGCACTGGGATCTGAACCCTAGGAGTCTGGTTCCCGAATCCCCACTCTCGACCGCCACCTGCACCTGTCTCTAAATGTTAGCACACTGGTGCTGGTTGTTCTGTCCCTTTAGGCATCTACATGTTGTAGAGATCTTTCCACATCCGGGGGCAGAGAGCAGCCCTCTGCTTCCTAACAGAAACTTTGAATGAATATATTGTAAACTGTACCCTATGAGTACCTTTTAGGCTATTCTCCATCTTTTTTTTTTCTTGTGGAAAAATATACATAACTGAACATTTACCATTTTAACCATTTTTAAGTGGCAGTTCCATGGCATTAAGTACACTCACATCATTGTACCGCCATCCATCATCCACCTCCTTTTCATACACCCTATCTGGAACTCCGTACCCAATAAGTCCTAACGCTTTATTCCTCCCTCCCCCAGCTCCTGGCACCCACCAACCTACTCTCTGTGAATCTGACCGCTCTAGCTATTTCCTGTAAGTAGAATCATCTGGCATTTGTCCTTTAGTGACTGTCCCATCTTTTACTATTATGACCATGCTCCATTGACTTTCCCTGAACTTGTCATTATCATACCATCAGCATGTAAAGAAAAAGGATAAATGTATGCAGATATCTCTGGCAGGATACAGAAGAAACTAAAGGTTACTCTAGGGAGAGGAAGGGGAGCAATTGGGGAAACTTATTTTTTATCCTCTACTCGCTTTATAGCTTAGAAGTTTGTAGATTGTTCGTATGTTCCCCATTCAAAATAATCGGTAAAAAATTAAGAGTAATCACTAGAAAAAGAGAAATAGGGTGCACAACTTCTAAACTCTTTATTGACCTCTATGGCACAGACTGCTAAGCGTCCAACAAAATCTATGTCCCCTTCTTCCAAAATAATAGAACAGTGGTGGGCAGGTGGCCGACCTACCGTGCTGTATTTCCCAGCCTCCTCTGCAGTTAGGCTCATCCATGTGCCTGAGTCCCCCAGTGGCATCTGAGGGGAAGAAAGATGGGCTTCTCCCTGGCCAGCACCTGCCACCCCCCAACCATGCTTTCTGCCCCCTTCCTGCGAGCCGGAGCACGTGCGTGGCTGCAGCCCAGGCTGGAAAGACAGCCCAAGGAGATGGGGGAGAAACATGATGGAAGGAGGCTGGGGTCCCTGAGTGATCCTGTGGAGCTGAGCCATCTGCCCACCTGGAACTTGAACTGTTTGATGGGAGAGAAAGAAACTTCTTAACTTACTTGAGCTGGTACATTTTGAGATCTTTTTGTTACAGCAGTTAGTATAACCCTAACTAAGATAAGCCATTTGGGATTATAGGAAATCGCCTCCCATGATACAGAAGAAGGAATGAAACCAAAAGTAGTGTCTGTGACATCCAGCAATGCTCCCAGCTCAGCAGGCAGGTGAGATGGGAGGAACATCTCCATTTTAAACTAAAATTCCTAGTCATGACCTGATCTTGTTTGGGCTCATCCATCTCTAGGCTGCAGCAACAACAGTTAGTCATGGATTTTGGCTTTGGCTCAGCCACTAATGTGCATGGTCTCCTGTGCAAGCCACTGCACACCTTAGGCTTAGATTTTTTTTTTTTTTTTAATTAATCAGGCAGGAAAAAGGGCAGGAAGGGCCACTTCCTGTGTGATGATGCCAGACCCAGCCCGTAGAGAGAACAGGACAAGGACTCAGGTCTGACACCTTGGGTCTGGGCTTTTCCCTGGAACCCACTGGACCTATGAGTCAGATGCTGGAGGCAGAAATGGCAGCAGAACCCCAAGCCAAGAGCTGGTTGCTACCT